AGGTATGTCCTTAGGGAGAGAAGGGTGGGGAAAGGTTATGTTCTCAGGGTGTACATTGTTGATGTTGTAGTAAAACCGGTACACCATCTATCACTCAAGATTAACTGGAGTTTTATCATACTGTTGTTATTTCCCCAACAGAAATGCAACTCTCTGGACCCCSCTGGACTGTGCWGCAGCCCGTGGGTGGGTGGAGACAGCAACAATTTTACTCCAGGAAGATTGCCCTGTGGATCCTACRGATAAAGCTAAGGTACGCATAGTCACTGTCCCCTCCCCTCTCAGTCAGATAATTGTGATGTTCTTTTCTGTTACSTAGACAACGCCWTTACATCTGGCATCACGTGAYGGTCACGTGCAAATGGTGAAYCTCCTACTCTCTAAAAAAGCTAATATAACACTAAAGGARAGTTCAGGGAAAAACTGCTTGGATATGGCTATTGAAAACAATCATAAGTGAGTCTTTGTCGTGATTACAGTCTATTAAATAGCATTGTCAGAACTGAACTSTGCACCAAGACCGCAATGTTACATGGGAAACTATTAAGTTTCGTATAACGGATTTTGAGTTGCTTTGAAATCATGCAGGAAAAAAAATATACATCTTTCTTGTTTATACGTTTTGTTTTCCATAGGGAAGTAGTTTTGACTATTATCAACCATGAGGACTGGAGGAAAGCGATGAGAAATCGATTCTATAGTGACTCAAAAACTGTCACATCWCCCATGAGAAAGCTTATCAGGAAGCTTCCAGGTGCGCATGTCTTTACGCATTGCATTGTTGTCTGGATTCTGTACAAACATCTAGACCATCATGCAACATGATTATCATTTGTTTTACAGAAGTTGCAGGTCTGGTATTCAACAAATGTGTTACCTCGAATAGTCACCCTGTAGACAGCACCGACTACGCGATCACTCTCGACTACGAGTTCCTAGACGACATTAATCTCGAGTGGGCGGCGAACAATTCCGAGCCCCAGGACCAAGACGACCATGGTATTGACGCGGTCATGGAAAAAATCAAGTCGGCTTTGCCTGAAAATGCGAATAAACAAACWCAAATAAAAGCCAATCATCCGTTGATGCTTATGGTAAGAACATTTGGGCTCCCTTTGTAAATTTTGCAGAATGCCCAGGCGTTCCTTGCGAAATGGGTGACGTCATGAAAGATTGAGYAACTGGAAAAGTCTGGGTACTATAGTTTGTGTTCAACCTTATTTTTTTCTTCTTGTAGGTCAATAAGGAGAGAGTCAAGCTACTAAGTCATCCCTTAGTGACATATCTACTTCGTTACAAGTGGCAAAAGTTCGGTCGTTCAGTTTATTACAGCAAATTCGTACTATACACAACGTTCTTATTCTTCTTGACCGGATATGCCTTGATAACCACTAAATCARTACCTAATATGGAATGTAAAAATGACACGTTTTGTGATTGTCACGTGWCTTTTGGACCCATTGAAACCGGAAGTGACGTACTATGGAGAACTCTTGGTCGACCGGTTATTATAATAACTGCAAGTTTGAGTATCTTCCTTGAGGTAAGCTTGATTTATTAAAGTCAATTTCGTATGAATGGGAAACAAACGGTACTGTAATGTAACCGTAATCGTACTGTAACCAAATTCTAGTGTCTCATTGCTTCACAAAAATTGTGCAGGCCAGGTCCGGTAACTGTGCGGTAATTTCTATAATGTACATATATACCTGTGCAACCGTGGGAAAGTGCCCATAATAGCGAGTGTCGCTGTAAAGGGAGTCATCTTAAGTACAGTCAACGGACACCTTCGGTATAGCAATTAAGTGTCCGTAATAGCGAGTGTCCGCTGTAAAGAGAGTTATATTCAATAATTTCTCTGAAATGAGGATTATTAAGTGTCCGTAATATAGAGGTGTTCGAAATATCGGATTGTCATCATGACCAGACATTCTCTCGTTTCAGGTCTTACAGTACTGCTATGTATGGAGGCTGTTTCTWCAGTGGCATCGATTGATTGAACTATCAGCCTATATAGTATCATTAATATTCGTTATAGATGAGATTAGAATAGATGGGACAACCATTCAATTTCCACGAGGCACGAGGTAAGTGATTTTTGAATAAAGGGGCATGTTCAACCGGCATCCCTTTCGAGTTTTTACTTTTCTCGAAAAAATGCATCGTAATATAATCAAAATCTTACTCTTTATTATTTCTTTATGCTCCATGAATGAAGATATTGTAAGATTTGATCTCAAAACCGACAGATGGAAACGGATTGAGAATGGATATTTTGTAGTCAACTTATTTTCCATATATAAAAGTCTAAAGCACGACCGCATTGAATGCGTGCTCTTTTCTATGTGTAACATACATGGTTTTATTTGCAGTTACTATTTTACAATGTCATTATTAATCTGGTATGGTTATATTTTAGATGTTTTGCATATCATTGGCATAATAGTGTTGGTGCTGCTGCAGTCTATCTATCATGGACGAGTCTTGTTCTGTTCATGAGGAAGTTTCCTAAGCTTGGTATWTATGTCGTAATGTTTACTCATATTTTCAAGACGTTCGCACGGTTTTTTCTGGTATTTTTTCTATTCATCGTTGGGTTTGGTCTTGGGTTTCATATTCTTATATATA